GTTGACCTGCTCAATTTCAATGAGCCTACTTGGCAAGAGGAAAAGAAACTCTTGCTGAGTAGGCCATTGAAACCACTTGGTAAAAAGGTTGTTGTTCCCAGCCAGAACTCATGATTCAGTGGGCTAATTTAGCTCACCAACTCCCAAATTTAAAAAAAAGAGAAAAAAACCAAACAACTCCCCAATCCCCCTTAGAGGAATCAGGAAGAAAAACTCCCAAAATGGTCCTGGGGACGCCCCCCCCCCCCAAAAAAAAATTTAGGAGTTGTCCTCCCAAATTTTGGGAGTTTTTTTTCTTCTTGTTTTCTTTTCCTGATTTTTTTTTATCATTTCCATCTTTCTGATTTGTTTTATCTTATATTCTCATTGCTTCTAAGGCTCTTTTTGGCAGTACACAATATAATAGAATGTTATTGGAAAATCCTGGATGTACCTTTGGGGGACCAAGTTTATGACCATAACCAAAAATCATTTTGGCTGGCCACACTATAAGTGGAATGGCCACCATAGGCCACTAAGATAAATTAAAGGGTTTTTTAGCTGCATAATAATTAGTGAGGGTTGGTACCTGCCTCAAATTTGGCCCAAAATAGACACCTGCACCCTCAGAGGCAGGTACCTGTGGGTTTTGGTCCTTTTTGTTACAAGTCATTGGGCTTGATGACCTCAACAAGCTCAACAACCAGTCTAACTGGTCAGTAAATTCAGCAACCCCGCTGAGCCCAACTCCTAGTATATACTGACATTGGGCCCAGTGAGCTTGCCAAGCCCAATGACCACTATATGCTGGTTGTTGATCTTCATGATCTCCAAGCTCACCATGTTTAAACATTGAGTACCTGTGTGGAATTTTTCTAGAAACACACCTGCACCTGCACCCAGGGGCCAGCACCTGCCAACAGGTACCTTTCCATTTTTGCATGTGATGGGTACATAAGTGCCATCTCTAGTAATAATGGGTTGATGGTTTATCAACCTTACCCTGATTATGCAGATTTGCATATATTTGTTTATAATATTTTGGACTGGTTTACTGATTCATAAATTCAACACCTTGTGAAACCAACACCTAGTACAGGTTTCACAAGAGGTTCACAACAGATTAACTAATCATAGACTCAACAGAATATTTAGTTCCTTTCTCCCTGTACCCCTCCTAGCTCAGTAGAGACCATCCTAACATTCTTCACTACTGAGCTAGGTGAGTATTTCATTTCCATATTTTCTTTCTTATTATTTTGACTCTTATGGTACAGGAGATACCTCCTAACATTCTTCACTACTGAGCTAGCAATATAATATACAGTGGCTCTAGAATTGGTCTCCGCCAAGCATTTGGCTTTGGTTCTAGAACATACTCCGTTGAATGGTGAAGGATTGATAGGATCCTTACCCACCCTTTACGTAAAATGTTTAACATCATTAGTGCAAACCTTGTTAATATGATCAGTCATGAGTTTTAATTTGATCAGATAAACACAAAGTTGATTTTTCTGATTAAAATTCAATTGTATTTTGGAAAATGAATGTATTTTAGAATATGACAGGTGTGATTTCTCTCCAAGTGATCTTACCTCATTGGATCAAATTTATAAATCAACTTTTCTTGGAGAAACTTTATCTATCCCTCAAGTCTCATATTCATTTATTCAAGAGACATGTAGTTGAGAGTATTGGTTCAGTTCAGTGATGAGAAAGAAACAAGAAAGGAAGACTTGAGTGATACTTGCATGGTTTGTCTATTAAAAATATCAAGGTCTTTTCTTCATTCTCATTGAGAATTGTTAAATTTAGAGTGTGAATGGAATCAGAAAGAACAATGCTCTTGGTACCAAGTAGTGAGAACAAAGGCAGTGACATCTTGAAAACCAGCAAGGTCTTCGTTCCTTGAAAAGTGTTTGATTAATTTTACTTGAACAGGTGTAAATAACTCGCCCACCCCATAGCGGGCGTCCTCCCAAGGTGCTAGACCATCATTGAGTGGCATCCTCCCAATTATTGGTAGAGTTGATTCTTTGTCGACTATGATATTGACAAGCCAATCAAAGAGCCTTCCTTTTCTTATTTCAAATTCTTCTCCGTCTATCTTCAAAATTTTTGCTAGCTCAACATGGATATAATTGACTCCAGAAATCAATCTTCTGAACTTCGCAGAGAACCGCTTTGATTCTATCAATGCTTTACCACCTGGCTTTTCCAACACTCGTAAGATTCCATGGGTTGGCTTTTCATCGTAACCTGCCTTGCAATCGGGAAAATACATGGCTATTGGTAACCTCGGATGGAATGCCAGATAGAGGTTCGTCAAAGCCGTTCGGTCAAATTTACTTTTGAAAGACTCGGCACTTTGTGACATGAGGTGATCATGTTGAAGTGATCCTTTCCAGTATCGTAGCAGAAATGTGAAGTCCTTCTCAGTCTTGACAGTAAGTTTTAACATAAAATTCATTCCTTCCTGGAAGTCTGGACTCATGTGAATTCCAATTAGATCTTCTCGAGTGCGGCTAGGTGCTGAATAATCGACTGGTGAACCACAAGTCAATCACGATCCAGATGAACACGACACATTATTGAGTTGATTGTTTGTTCCCCCCCCCCCAAAAAAAAAATACATATATATACATATATCACATTAGTTTAGCTGCTCAGACAATCTCAAAAGGATGAAAACACACTGGGTAAACCCACTCTTCTGCTGAGATATGAAGAAGTCTAAAAGCTTGGAGACAGTAGAGGGTCCAAGTTGATTTGTGTCTTTATGTTGAGTGAAGAATTTCAGTAACTGTAACTGGCTATCCTCAAGTTCATCGTTTTTTCGCCATTCGGGATAGACCAAATTCCTAGTTCCCATGAGTGGCATACCACCAGGCGGCGTGAAGATTAGATTATCGAGCCAGTTGAACAGTTTTTGCTGCTGTTCCCTGTACTTGTAGGAGGGAAGGTTTGAGTTTCTCAAGCGCTCCTCGTGCAAGGTGTGAATAGATTCACATAAATAGGTGTAAAAGGCTACCAGAACTGCAGCCCTCTGAGTACAGTCCATAGAATCTGGACGTTGTAAGGGTCTTATGACGTAACCAGAGAAAGGTTGGACCTGGCGTAGCATCGCGAGAGGTTCATCGCCAAACTGGATCCGTCGTCCTTGACTTCGAGGCACGAATTCCCTCGCATTGGCTCTCTGACGAAATTTTTCAAGATGCTCCTTGACCAGTAAGATGACAATGCGATCGTTCATCTCCCGGGCAACAGGTTCGCTCTGGGACGGAATGAGTTGATTCTCCGGATGTGGTGTGGCTGTGTTTAGTTTGCTCCCTGTCGCATCAGACTCAACGCCAGCTTTTTTGAATATGAGAGTCGCTGGTGCTGCCCCTGTAAACTGGCCAGGTCTCTGATGGCGCTTATTGACATCATATTCATAGGGCAACGTTTGGAGTATTTCCTTGATCGACGAGTCAACGGCGATGGGTGCTTGGGTCGCGGAACCGTGAAGATTGGTTTCATCCGGGGCTGCCGAATTCCAGTTGGTTGAATCAAAATTGTTTTAAGAAACATCAGTCCAGATGACCCCGTGGGCTGTTGGTAAGAAAGACAACGGAAACACCACTAACAAAAAGCGCTACTCATGGGGCCTCGAGGGTAGGGTAAGATGGAATGCGTGTTGGAAGTGGCAAGTTTGAGTTGTCCGTCATGGGTTCTTTTTTTGATCAGTCTGGAATCCAACGATGCGTCATGGAAGAAAGCAGCATTTTCAATCAGAGCAGGATCCGAAGACGCGGACTTGGATTCGGGGGTTGCAGAAGCTTTTGATGGATCATATCTTGGCTTTCGTGAGATCAGCGATGAGTGTAGTGAAATGTCCTCGAAGAAAGCAGCGTTTGGAATCAAATCAGGCTCTGAAGACGGGCTCGCTGGGGATTCTGCTCGCAAGACCGAAGAAGTTGTAATTCGTGGGGTTGTAGAAGGTTTTGGTGGATCATATCTCGGTTTTCGTGAGATGAGCGATGAGTCTAATGAAACGTCCTCGAAGAAAGCAGCGTTGGGGACCAAATCAGGCCCTGAAGACGGACTTGCTGGCGATTCTGCTCGCAAAACCAAAGGAATCGTGCTTTGTAAGGAAGGCCGACCCTGTTCATGCTGAGGAAGTTGTAGACGCGGATTGAACGCGAAGGCGGTCAAGAGGTCCCGTGCCGAAGGCAACGGCTCTTCATCATGTAAGGTGGTGTGATCCCACCAATCGGAGGTGAACTCGATTGGATCCGGAGCCGCAACGACCGCAATCCACCAGACGATGTGACAGAGTATTGGAGGCCGAAAGATCACATGAGGATACATTTGGGTAGGGCTAGCAAAGCAGCACAGTGGAATCAAGTCATGAGTAGCTCCAAGGCAATTGCAGCATGAAGCTGCATGAAGGCGCCAGACATCACGCGAAACATAGCGATGTAACAAGCCAACAGTTTTCTCGTGCTTTCTGTTTCAAGACCAACCGGTTTTTACTGGAACAAGGGTTGGTGATTCTATCTGCAGACTGTATCTGAACAGAGGGAGAGGTTCCAACACACATTTCAGCTTCCCTGCCCCTTATTTTAAATTTTCTTGCAGACAAGGAACCAAAGTAAACTACAGTGGCACCTTCAAAGTTTACCTTTGGAAATCTTTCAAGGGAGGAAATTTTGAAACATTTTGCTACAATTGAGCAATCTCATTGCTTGAACTTGATTGTTCAAGCTTGGAAGTTGAACTTGATTGCTCAAGCTTGGAAGTTAGCACAAGACTGCACCAAATTTCAAGCAGTGTGCTGTTGATCAAAAATTCTTGCTGCATGAACTTTGGTTGCAAACTGCAAGCACCTATGTGACATGGACAAGTTGATGTATTTCAAAACATCTACCAAAACTTTGTTAAAGCTTCAAAACATTTGCCAACGTTGTGGAAAGAAAGGCGCGCCCTAGGGTATTTCTTGTACTTCTCCGCTCCGCAACGCGTCTTACTCCGGTTTGTTGTCCGGGGTAACTTGCTTGATGGGCTTGTAGGTAGGTAAAATAGCTCTCTTTTATTGTTCTTTTGTCGGTAGTACTCTAACTCTAGTCTATCTCTAACAATTCTTTAGGCTAATACACGATTCACTCCTAAGTCTCTCTGTTTTCTGATATGTTCTGTGTTATCCTTTTTCCCTCTCTCCCTCCTCTTCTGCCTCGAAGTCCACTCCTCCTCAGTTTCCCACACTCCAGTCTCTTACTACCTCCCACGCTGTCCTCCGCTGTCACCCCCTCGGACTCCGCATGTCACCCCTCCGACGCCTGTCGGTCCAGGTACTCCTCCGGCCGCTCGTAAGCGGGTCTCCCACCGCCGCTTCCGCCTCTGGTCCGCTCCGAACCCCGCTTCCGCCCCTCGGTGCTCCCCGCTCCTTGTAGCCCCTCCGCAGTATACCCTGAACCCCCATTCCACAGTCGGCCGTGATCCCCGGCGCCCGCCGATGCCCGGATTCCCCGCAGTAAGCTTTTCAGAACCTTGTGCATTCGGTCTACTTTCTCCACTTTCCCGCGCCTCGGAAAGCTAGACTTTCCACTAATGCACCGCCGCTTTCCTCAGCCTGCTTATGTAGCGTCAGCTCCGCGTGCTTTCCGCATCAGCGCCGCGAGCATTCCGCATGCTCCAAACAAACCGGCCAAAGCTTAGGTCAAGGCGCGCTCCCGCCACCACAACGTGTAGAGTCATATCAGAATTTGATTGTTTTATGAAATCCATTTAATCTCATTCCAAAAGAGGTTTGGACAGGTTTGAACTAGAATCAAATCTAAAGTTCTCACTCCCCTCACCTAAAAGGGATGTGTGGTTACATTGGTGGCTTGGAATGCACACCAAACAGGGATTGCTTACTTCCTGTGTGGTGTGCAGATTGACCGGCCAAAAAAAGAGGATGGGTTATACTGCACACCCATTTTTAGGCCAGTGCATGCCAAAAAAGGGAGTGCAGCCAAGTACACAAAAACTGCATGTACCTTTTGGAGGTTTGGGTGTGAGTGTGCACCTGGGGGAGAGGAGTGTGTTTATCAGCCCCAACTTTGGACTCAAACACTTTAGTGTTAGTGGCTGTGACCAAAATGAAATCCTTCTGGTTGATGAGGTAGTTGCACCTCACTCACTAGAAATGACAATCTCACTTAGAAAAAGAAAATCATGAAACTTCCTCCACCCTGATTGGATAATTTCAACAGAAGTATTCAAGGTCAACCCATCTTTACAAATTACAATTCATAGTGATATATTTACAAAGTATCAATTTGCAGAGTTTTGTGGGTGTCATAATATATTTTATGGTTTCTGGTTGAGATTTGGTGTATTCAATGACTTTCTCTTCTTTTTGCATTTTTTGGATCTAAGTTCTATGATTCACATCAAGATCAACCCCAGATTCTAACTTGACCATTTTTTTCCTTCTCTAGCTTGTTTGGTCAATCTCTCTTCTGAAGTTCCAATGTGTCTGGTAATACTTTCATCCTTATTTTGAAATATTGCTCTTCATTTTGTTTACTAATCCATCAACTTCTTCTACAAGTTTCCCTCCTTTCTCTTTAAGATTTTGCAACTTTGCTTGAAACTTGTCTTTTTTTGGAATAGAAATCACTTTTGATTCAGGTGCCCCTTTTTCATTCCACCTTATGTCATATGAAATGATGTTTGACAACTCACTTTTTTGTTGAAACTGTAATTCAAACAATGCAGTCTCCTCTGTTCAATTTGAATATGAACAATATTTTCAAAAATAGATCACATAAATCATGCTGAGATAGTGAATTGGTAATTTTTGACAAATGATTCAGATTGCTTACCTCTTGGGCCTTGCATTTCACTATGAGGGACTCCATTCAATGATTGTTGTATCTTTACTCTGGTCCTTTCTTTTGAATCCTTTATACCTTCATGTACTTTATGAAACACATTTCCTGATTTCTGATTCATTTGGGCTAAGAGATCATATTTGATATATAAGTATTTCATCTTCAAATGATTTCATTTTTATTCCTGATTTCTTTATCTAACAACTGACCTTTCAATTCTACAGATTCACTCTCACCTTTCCATAAGAATCAATGCAACATAATTTCAACAATATAACAAAAATTAATTAAACCTCATCAGTAATCATGGTCAAATTTCAATAGTAAAAAATGATGATACCCCTTGGTCCCTGCATAGGGGTGGCTTCTTCAATGTGTTTATGTGATCCTTGAGACATAGCTGTTGATGTCATAAGGGTAAGTAAAATTGCTGATCAAGACAAAAAAGACTGATTTCCTAAACTCTCACACATACATGCATCTAGAATGTCTTCAGAGACTACAAAAAAGAGCAAAAAATCAACTCTCAAAAAGAACAAATAGTCCCTGTTTCAATTGAATCAAATGCTGAATGAAAATATCGACATACCTTTTAAATCATTTTCCATTGGTGATCTCTTTTTGAGCAAGTGGAACTGGGTTCCCTCAATGAGACCTAAAACCTCCCTCTTTACCAGAGGTTTAGGAATTGAGATTGTATGAGCTGCAAAACCATAGTATTGCAATAGATGAAATGAAAGTAAGATGTAGCAACGGTGGGCCGCTACGCTACACTACGCTATTTGACCACTAACTGTTAGTGTAGCGGCCTTTTTTTTCTCTAGAAAATCTGTAGTGTTAGCGCACGCTAAACACCGCTGAGCTAACTGCCAGCGTAGCGTGAAATTTTTCTCTCAAATTTTCTGTAGTGTTAGCTTCAAATAATCACCGCTAAACTAACAGGTAGTGTAACTTTTTTTTCACTAACAAAATTTTGACTAACAGATAGCGTAACTGAGTTGACGCTAACATTTAGCGTAACTGGTCCCACACTACGCTACACTACACAATGGTGGACAAATGAAAAATTTCAAGTGAGAAAATAACACAAATGCATGCCTTGAGGTGGAATTGAACACTTGACATGATAGGTTAGTAGCATCTCCAGACACCCTCCTTGTCCACATGACTAGCATTACATGAGGAATGGGTCGGTGAGTTGAGGTTCAGTCAGCAAGAGGATGCCATGGACATGCCTGTGACATGTTCACTCCCTGGGTTCTGAGTTTGAACTTGAAGTTCAAGCAAGGGGAGATCGATGTCAGACCTCCAATCTCTTCCGATCCAAGCAACACCCCATCAAGATTTTTCATCCTCATCCTCATCATCAACTTCATCAAAGCTCAACCTGATCTTCATCTCAATTAAATACTAATCACAACCACCTCCATTATATCCTCCAATCCAAAAGTCTCTTCAGCTTACTCCCTCTTCTGAAACTCAGGTCTCTCATTGGATTGCATTGGACTAACTTTAATCAATTCGATCTCAGAAACCGTTCGCTTTCAGTCAACACGATGGCTGACAAAGATGTAGCCCTTCATGCCAGCTTTCCAACAAACCAAAAATTAAGGAAATCGGACCATTTTTGCAAAAATTATCGCTACTCAAAGTCAACCATCAAAAATCAATTGCTTCCCCAAAAGGAACATACTAGAAGACTGCTACCCTGGCTCTGATGCTTGCTAACCTCCCCCCTCTTTGATTTAGGTACCCCCACACACATTTGCTTGACCATTGAATGTGGATTACAAACAGGACGGGCCAAAAAAGCGGTATGATTTCAAATTTGTGTTAAGCTTCCGCAGGTTGCTGATCTAATTTTTTGCTTCTTCTTACTCTTCCTGTTTCCCTTCCCTGCAGCTGGCTACTAAATGATGGAATAAATGGATCTTGGGGTGATTCAAACCCTTGGGACTAATTTATCTCTTGATAGTAATAATAATGCCAGTATGAAAGCAGCAAAGAAACGGTGCAAAGCCAAAAAAAAAACAGGAGTTTCGAAACCAGATTCTCAAACAAACTCTCACCCCTAGTGATACCACCTACTTTTTTCGATTGGAGGAGAGTAATCATTTACACTAAATGTTAGTGTAACTCAGTAATCAGTTATGCTAACAGTTAGTGTAACTTTTTGATCAGTTACGCTAACAGTTAGTGTAACTGAGGGGATCACTACGCTAACAGTTAGTGTAACTTATCAAAAAGTTACACTAACAGTTAGTGTAACTTTTTAGCCCACTAACCACGCTAAAATTCCACTAACAAGGGATTTGGTTAGTGTTAGTTGCTGTTTTTTTTAGTCAGCTAACACTACACTAAAGTTTTTTTTTTTTCAGAAATCCTGTAGTGTTAGTGGGCCAAATTTTTCGCTAACAGCAACTTTTGTGTAGCGTAGCTTAAAAAGCTAACACTACGCTGCACTAACACTACGGTTAGCGTAACTGGCCCACTGTTGGATGTAGCTTAATAGCATGGCTATTGGTGTCTTTAATGATGATAAGTTTATAGATGAGATAAGGGATGTTGGCAATGATGGTGATGATGAGAAGAAGGATTAGACTGAAAAAATGAGGAACATAAAACCATAGTTATATTTATAACATCTGTCTCCCTCTTTTGTAGCCGTAGGAAAGGCCATGGCCCCAGTGCTCTGTCCATTTTGCAAAGTATGCCAGTTGTCAAATAGATATGCCTATTTATCTACACCATTTTATGTGTATCTTCTCCATCATACAATTGTATATATCTCTGTACAACAATTGAAACTTGATCATGGTGTTTCTCATCCTGAAATACACATATGACAGTGGGAAATTCTACCTAACCTGCCCCTGGTTAATTCTCAGGATTTCTATGCAGTGCATTTGATTCTTCATGATAATAAACCTTAATAAACCCCAAGAAAACCATTGGCACAGCACAGCTGTAAGATATTTTATGCCTTGGTTCTTCCCATTTGCCAGATGTTTGATTCTTTTCCCATATCTCCTCTTTTAGTTCAACTCAACAGTAGTAGTCTGTAACAGGTCTCTGATCCATATTGATTTGAAGCCAACCAGGCTGTGCCTTGTACTTGAACACCTAAATGAGTCTGTATTTAACTGTACCTCAATGATGGAATCTGCTGTTGAGGTGGACCAGGTGAAGGAACTAAAAGTCACAAATGCTGGATCTTGTGACAGTGACTGAACAAGAACAAAATGATGGTTTGAATTCAATGAGGAAAGGTTGTTGTAGCAGGGCTGGAATAGACTACATACAACAATGGATTTGATAGAAGCATACCAGCTTATAAGCATTCCAACACACCCCCTTGCTGAAAAACAAATCATGTTAAATAAAACCAGAGTAAAAAAAATTATACTTGTGTAGCTTGTAGTATATAAAAAAAACTCTTGAGGGGACAGAAATATTAGGTTTAACCAGGCTAGAGATTCTACGTATGCAGGGAGAAGGGAGAAACCACGACAGAATCTGTACTCAAAAATCAAGTAGACAATAGAAATTAACCTTAAGTGTGCACCGGAGTTGTGCGTACTACAAATAAAACAATATCAGGGACTTTCAGCCCTTTTTCATCCCCAGACGTCAATTTCATCGTCAAAGCTGTCGTCTTTATCTCCTGAGGTGTAGTTGCCTAGAGTTGCCACAGAAGTCGCCCCCGCGCGCGCCTCGGATTGTTTCGCAGGGTTTTTGAACTTTACCCTGTTCTGTTGATTAGGACAGTCGGTTGAGTGGTGGCCTTTTTCACCGCATCGATAGCAATGAGGTTGTCCTTTTTGCTTTGCTGCAGCAGCAGCGGCGTGCTCTGAGTTTGTGAAGTCAAGAGTCGTAGAGGTTGAAATCTCATGTGCCTCAAGGGCACCAATTGTATTGTCTAAAGAGATTTCAGTCGGCGAGTAGACTAGGTGGTCTCGTATGGTTTTCCATGACTCGTCGAGGCCCCGCAGTAGTCGATTGCATATCTGCTGGTCGGCTGGTGTTAACTTCACACTTGAGAGGTCCGAGGCTGCTATACGGACTCGAGCAATCCATTTTGCTATCGGTTGATTCGGATCTTGTCGCGCCGTCCAGAAAGCGTCTTCAAGTTGAAGTCGCCTAGCTCGAGTATTTTTCTCGTATGTGTCACATATGGTCGAGAAAAGTTTGTGAGCAGGCTTGACACCTTCGTAGCGAATTGAGAGGTCCACCAAGAGTGTCAGCTGAATTGTCGATATCGCCATATCGGACAATGTGTCCCAGTCGGCGCCGTAGTCCTCAGGGTTGTAGCCTCGTTGTTCCGGGGATCGGACAGCGAGTTTGCTCTCCTTTGAGTCGGTGTTATTCGGACGAGGAAGTGTCTTGTTTACGATGTCAAGAACTCCTTGTATTTGCAGGACATTCTGGAGTCAATTACGCCAAGATGGGAATGTAACCGAATTGCCGTCCAGAGTTGGGATCGTTTGGATCAAAGCTGATGGGTTGTTCATTTGTCGAATAGGCATCCTAAGAGTGTTACGAGATGGCTGAGTATGATAGAGCGGGGTGATTGATAACCAGAGTCGAGTTGGAGCTGTTGCAACAATGGGTCTCATAACCTGTTGAGGTGGACCAGGTGAAGGAACTAAAAGTCACAAATGCTGGATCTTGTGACAGTGACTGAACAAGAACAAAATGATGGTTTGAATTCAATGAGGAAAGGTTGTTGTAGCAGGGCTGGCATAGACTACGTACAACAATGGATTTGATAGAAGCATACCAGCTTATAAGCATTCCAACATCTGCCTCAAGTAAACCAAAAACCGAGTTCAAGTTGAGGTGCACTGAGCTACAACGACATCACACACAAAAATAACCCAATCCACTTGTCCCTCTGGTCATGAGACTGGCCTAGGCCACTGCAGCACCTTTAGGGTGTTTGAGAGGCCTGTGTTTGGTTTGCAGCACATCCTGGCAGAACAAACCTGTCTGACCGGCTGCTGTATAGGTTCTGTCCATAATAGCCGTTTGGAGACCTACACACAGGCAGCAGGCTCAGCTAAGTCTGATGAGTATTCCATGGCAGTTCTGTAATCCTGACCAATTTCGCAATACCGGAAGGATCACAACTTTATTATGGGCGGCTACACGTAAATATGTACAATTCTACATGATGTTCAGGTTCCAAAACTTGTCTGCAAGATGATATTAGTCACAGCAACAGATTTGCTTGACAGTGCAGACACTGATCATGCAGTGGGAGAGGGTTGAGCAGTGTTGTCAAGCCTGATTCCAGATACAGCAGACCCATAAACCCTTGCAACTTTTCCCCCCCCCCAGAAAAAAAATCAAAAAAAAAACATTTGGTGTAGCTGTCACAATTGAACAGGGAAGTGCATACTTATGTGATGAATCTTGACCGACCCAGCTTGTGATAGGTCACCTCCAACACACAAGACGTCAAGACTGACTATTTTCTTGACAGCTGCATCAAAGAATCTAGAGATGGTCGAAGGGTATCCGTCGCAGATACCCGTTATCCGCTGGCGGATACCCGCCTGTGCCAACGGATACCCGCCAGCGGGTGCGGATTCGGGTGCGGATGGCCCCTTTTCCGCAAATTGCTGGCGGGTATCCGGGTATCCCAAAGGATACCCGCGGCCGGGGAGATGGCCGGCTGGAAGAAAGCCCTTTCAGCCGGCGAGGTACATGTACCTCGTCAAGGGACATTTACCTCGCCGGCTGGAAGGAAACCCTTCCAGCTGGTCCATCGCCGGCCCTTTAGAGGGCGGGTATCCGAGGATACCCGCTCGGATACCCGCTGCGGCCGACGGATACCCGCTAGCGGGTGCGGGTGCGGATGCGGATGTGAAATTTCGCTGAAATTGCCATCGGATATCCGCATCCGAACGGGTATCCGGATGCGGACCGACCATCTCTAAAAGAATCTCACAGTAAATGTTTTCGACCAATTTTTTTTTTTCTGGGGGGGGGGGGAAAGTTGCAAGGGTTTATGGGTCTGCTGTAATCCATCCCCATGCAGCGACCAATCTTTGACTTGGCAGTTGCAATCTCACTCTTGGCAGAAGATACACGCAGATCAGTTCATTTCTGAAGCAACTTACCCACTCACCCACACAATCAAAAAAAGGTTTACCCAAAACATGACATTTGCTGTGATAGTTTACTGTCACATTGCCATAGTGGGGCAACACTTCCATAGCTTTATCTTACAGAATAATTTTGATTAAACTTTCAAACAATTACTGCCTATCTGAAGGCAGTATACCTGGCAGAGTCAAATTTTGGGTCAATGTTATTTATGAGCAGGTCCCAGCCTGTTTTTAGCCTGTTTTCTACCCTTTCTGAAAAACAATCGAGTGTTTGGGGATACATTCAATTTTGGTACAAGTTAAATTTCCTCTTCTTGGAAGAAGAGCTTGAGTTTATAACGACTAAATTCTCATTGATCTTGAACTTTTATTTTTATTTTCAAAAACGTGATCAAAAGGGCACTAATGTATTTTGCAAAATAGAGAACAGTAAGAAAAAAAATTATCACTATTCAGGTTTGAAATGTCCTTTGATTCACCAACGGCACTTTTGCCCCAAAGCAAAAATCATTGTCATTATGCTCATAATACCAAGCCGTGATAATAAAGGCTGCGGTCTCTCGTAAAGTCAGACTATTGAGCGGTTGAGAAAAGTATTGGATCAATTTTAATTGGACCGGAGTGAATATCGTTTTATTTCTATGGCTCGGATCTTCCCATGGAGCTAAGCCCGGGTTTATGTCTATGCTGCCAAATATAGGAAAACCTTGATTTGGCCTGAAAATAACCGTGATTAGCCATTGAAATATTGCACTTCTGATTTGATGCGTATCTTCTATGCGTGCTTTGGGACGTTGGAGTTCAAGGTGGACGTAAGTGACCGCTGCAACCAATTTGGTAAATAAGGGAGTTGCTTTATTCTTTTTCACGATTTTGGTTTCCGGTTTTGTGATCACTCGCATCCGTCCGGAATTCGACTCATCCTTCAGGAAGTATACTGCGATCGGTATTCTTGGATGAACGCTCAGATAATGATTCGTCAATACTGTGTCGTCATAATTATCTTTGAAAAGTACCAACACCGGTGGGATCAGGGGATCATGAGCAACTCTTAATTTCCTACTTGTGACTATTGAATCAAATTTCCAATACTGTTTACTAGAAATTTTCATCAGAAATGTCATCCTTTTCCGGAAATCTAGACTTGTGGGGATTTCATTCAATTCTTCAATAGAAAGCCTGGGCGCTGTACGATAAACTGATAGCTCCCCGTCCATCCATCATCAAAAGAGTAATATGACACGCGTATAATTCAGATTTTAATATCTTCACTTGAAATCAGAAACTGGCTCGGCCTGAATGAAACATATAGACTCACCTGAGTTACCCTGTTGCCTATCTATGAAGCTTTGTAACAGGAGAATTGCCGTGGATAGTGTACTCTGATAGTCATTTTCTCCCTGAGATAAGTAAGTTAATAATTCTAACTGGGTGCCTTCGACTATATCATCCTTTCTCCATTCTGGCACTGATATCATCTTCCTCCCGATGAGAGGAACACGGTTGTCAAACATCTCTTGGTAGAGCCATTCAAACAATTTTTGATGCTGTATTCTGTGAACGTATATCGGGATATCTAACGTGTTCAAGCGCTCTTCGTGAACATCGTAGATACATTTGATTAAATGCTTGTAGTGAGAAGCCAAAAGATCAGGTGACTGTACGAAGTCTCGATTTGAAGCTAAGGCGATTCTTATGACGTAACCAGGACCCGAACTTTGTGGGTGAGCAATTGCGAGAGGCAAGTCGGAGTGGTGATACTTTGGAGTATTCCCTTGGGAAACAAACTCCTTTGTGATGACGGTACCATAAAATTGGTCATCGTATTGCTTGAGAAGAAGACGCCGAACGTGAGGTTGCTCCTTGATTATCTGTCGCGTTGCGCGTTTGCGGGCGGCCCTTTCTCTCTTCAATTTGCTTATGAGTGATCTATTACTGGTGATGTCCAATGGCCGGTTCAACCGAATTATACGAGAAACTTGCGTTGGTTCCTGATGGTGCTGATGGTCGTCACCGGATACATTCTCATCAGGTGTTTTGATGATTGGGTTGTCAAATTCCATGGATGTTTGAGTCCGACCCCTAGTGTAGTCCTGATTGATTTCCTTCGAGGCTGTCAAGTGCGAGTTAGTTAATCCGCAATCCTTTCAGTGAATATGTGTTACTTTGGAGAATGTGGAGGGGGGTAAAGGAAGAATCACTGACTGGAAGTGCTAGTGAAGGCTCGAGTGTGTGATTGAGCGGGCGTAGTGTTGGGATTGGGATTGGATGAAGCTTTCGATTCAGCGAATGGGGCAGCCTTTGGTACTAGATCAAGCTGATTCAAGGCAAACTGAACCCAAGATTGGCCGACTGTATAGTGTGCATTTTCATCACTGGACACATTCTGAGTTATTTCCATGATGGATCTGTCGATGGGGATGCCTGTTTTCTGAGTGACAAAGCTATCCCACTCAATTTCATTGTAGCTGCCTGTGGAACGCGCATCGGCTGTTTGGAAGTAATTACAGGGAATGTAGTTTTCATGATCAGGTTTGTACTTGAGTCGTGAACAGGATAAGGGATAAATGGCTAACTGGGAGTGCTAGTCACACCTGGAGCGCATGATTCGTCGGGATAAGGACTGAAGATTGGCTTAGGGCCGGATATATAAGCTTCTATCCGGTCGTCTTTAGGGGCCTTTGGGATTGGTGCTGGGGCCAGTGAAACGTCCTGGAAGGAAGCAGGATTTGCAATCAAATCGCGGCCCAGCGATGGCCGGCTTGCTGGCGATTGCGGTCGCAAGACCGGGAGCGTTGTGGTTTGTAGGCGATGCCGTCCCCATCGAGGCTGATGAATTTGCAGAGCAGGATCGCGCGAGAAGGCGGCCAAAAGCTCGTGTGCCGAAGGCAGCGTTACTTCCTCCAACGGGCTGTCATCCCACCAAGCGGAAATGAACTTCGTTGGATCTGGAGCCGAAACTAAACCAGCGCACCAAGCCAAACAGCATGTCGAACGAGCTTTCGAAAGGATGGCGAAGTGCATTTGGGATGCATGAACAGACCCTACAAAAAAAATTGCTCACGCCCATATTGAGCCTCAAACCGTTCGCTGTGATACGCCGAGTACGTAGACTTGGGCGGCTCCAGGCTTTAAACGGGGTATAGTTCTCAATTCTTCTCGTCTCACTTCTTGTTCGCAGAGTATGGGACAATCGAAACACCGTCATCTAAAACCCAGGGGAATCACAATCCCAGTTGGTCGGACTCAGCAACCAGGCAAGTTTGCAAATGGCACGCCGTCGGCTTGACCCTGCGGTCAAGCGCCGGTCTGCCTTGACCTCTCTGACGCAATCCCGCCGGATTGGTCTGGCCGACTTCAAGTTTGGGCAGGAATGCCGTAATTCGAACGTTCGCTTGACCTCAGGGTCAAAAAGTCCCACCTTTGGCTTGACCCCATGTCAAAAAATCAAGAGAAAAAACTTTTTTTTCTACATTTTTTCTGATCCACCCTTCTCATGTCCAAAAAGTTGTGGCCACAACAAGAAGAAAAAAAAAAAACTTCAAGACAAAAAAATCTTATAGGTAATTTGAAAGTTTTTATCTATCTACATGCAAAACCAAGCAAGGCTGGTGATTGCCATAGTTGGATAGGCCCTCCTGTCACATCATCGTGCAATGAGCTGAAGATGCTGTGAGTACAGGAGCTCAAGCTCCAAGATGAGTTTTTTTTGTACTGCAGCCACTTTCAAGATGACATAATAGCGGGGTTCACGATAGCGTTTTTCGCTTCTCGCACCCGTATTTTTTTTTTTCTTGCTCGCGCATTGCTGATGTCAATTTTCCCAGCCAAAATTTTAAGTTCTGCGCTAAATTTTAAGCCTGCAGCAGTGCTGCGGTTTCTCGCGCGAGAAGAAATCGCTTCTTGCGAGAAGCTATTGTGAACCCCGCTAATGCTGTCAAGCCACTGCAAGCTTGCCTTGCAACCGCTGGCAAGCCAACTGCGGGGGATTACACCACCCACTATGAAGCACCCCAAAATATTGGTTGGGGCGGCATGGGTCAAGCTGATGGAACTGCTTCTGTCAAGCACTGAACCCGTGGTGTAGGCCTCCACAGCGGGAGTGCTAGCAAGCAGCAGAGCTGTCTGCGCCTGTGGAGGCCTATGCCTAAAGTCACAATCCCCTGGTGGTGAGTTTTCAGAATTGGGCTGAAAACTCACTTTTAAGTTTTTTGTGTGTGTTTCCAGATCTCTCAATGCTTCCTCAATCAGATCTATGTGATTTCCTTCCAGGACAGGGGGGCCTGCAGCCGTCCACAATTGTAATAGACCATTGTCTCAAATTGTTAAATCAAAATCCAGGTTTGATGATTCCAGGCTGTGCAAATGATGCAGCCTGAAAATCCTTCTCAACCTTGCTGTGAGGACTTATGACACAAAAGTTGGGGGGACCCAAAATGTTGGAATTGGCAGGGAATAATATAACTATCATGGACATCCAAACAAGACCGTAGCTCTTCAAGAACTCTGGACCAAACATCCTCAAAGTTTTGAGGGAATGATGTGATTCCACTATGAATGTTGCTCCCACCAAAAGACTAGAAACTCACCATGCAAGTTTGTCAACACTAGGTGCAAGTCTCCCCTGCAGGGAGTTCCCTTCAGTAACCACCTGTCCAGTGCTACACTGCCAGATGCACCCACTGCAGCCAAGAAGTGTGTCAAGTTCAGGGTTTGTCAGGCAAACTGACATTTCCCAACCCTGCCAAACCTTCCTGCTGGCCAATGTCAAATTATCAAATTTACAGCCTGGAGGTCAGCAAGCTCAGGGTGCTGACCCATACACACCCAGTGAGGAGGTGTGATCCAATGCAAAGAGGACTCCACTGTCACAGGACTTATGTAGTCAAGTTTGGGTCCAACAGCTCAGGAGAGCCCACTGACAAAACAAATATATAAGGGCATTGTGATTATGGATCTTCATTGATCCAGGGATCCTGCAGTTGGCCCTCCCACACTTTGCTGCTAGACCAACTGCATGTCTTTCTTTTGGTACAATTTTAGCTCACCCCCATTTTGCCTTCAATTCTCCTCATTCACTAGAGTAGAGACCAGAGGTGAATTTGCTGCCAAACAAGCACAACCTTGCAATTTTCACAGGGCAATTATTGAACCTGTGCATTAAGTGATCTCCAAATCAACAGTTAAAATTTATTACAATGGCTACTTGAAAATAGTGAGAGGCTCCCCTGTGAAGGCAAAATCCCACAATTGGAGTTTATGAATTTTGTGAATCAGCAAACAAACCTTGTTCAAGTGTGAAAACTCAGAGCATCTCCACCGCGGATGGTAAATGTCGGATTTACCACCCGCATTCCAGAGTTGCCACCTGAGATCAGGCAGGTGTGCCACCGCAAAGTTGTAGACCTTGGCTGAGGATTGGATGAGTGAGCGACATTGGCTTGTGAAAGGGTTACACATATCGGGGTTTCACAAGCGGGATGGCTGGTTTCACACATGCGCGAGAGGTGCCTGGGGTGGTACACGAGTGGTAGATCTACAACCTCGGTACATTTTTTGGACCCGAGATGTTGCTTACCACCCCGTATACCGCCCGCAGTGGGGAGGCTTTTTGGAAATTGGGGTGGTAAACGGGGCTTACAACCCGGATTTACCACCCGTGTTGGAGATGCTCTCACCATACTAGATTTCACAGAACCAATCACTTAGCTTACATAATCACCCCAACACTTCCTAGTATGGTAGAGAAAACTAACTGTTACCCCTAATGAACTAGGTGAGTTCATTTCCTGATTTTGCTTCTTCATATCTTTTTAATTCCTTTTCATTTCTTTCTTTCTTATTTTTCTTCACCCTTTCTTGTTGAGGGACACCAGGGACTGAAACAATGACTGAAGTTGGGACTCATGAGAGGGAACTTTTTGATGAGAAAATGATGTATTGATTCAGTGAGGAAAGGAGTTCAAGAGACATTCCGGTAACTCAGTAGTAGTGGGAGGCTTGATATAATCATAAGCATAAATAGTTAAACACAGTTTACATTTTTTTTGATAAATTACATGTAACTCAACTTGAATGAAGCTCTTCTTTGGTGTTCTTGTCTTCTGTGAAAAAAGGCACATGCATTCTTTACCAAACCTGCTGATCTCACCAGAGGAGAATACTGTTTTCCAGGAGCAAAAAAGCATAATTTTGGAGTAAGTTTGCTGAAATTATCTCCAGCTTCCCAAAACTATACATTTTTGATGTATTTTCATGACAGTATGTCATTAAATGTTTCTTATTTTGTATAAAACCACTGCTTCAATTACAATTCAGAAAGCAAAAGTTAGCAAGAAGGACTACATACTGCACAAATCACAAGGGTTAACTTTGTTCAAGTTATGTCTCCGATTAAATTGATTCTGAATCAGAAATAAATTCACCGGTGAAGGTAGAGAAGAATTTATTTCTGAATGGACCTCTTATTTGGCCTTCAGGCATTTCTATTATTATCAAGCATGACCTCAATTTTCCCACTTTGAATTTAATTTTCTTGTGTAGTTTATTCTTAATGGATAAGGTTTGCATCAGATTCAGAATGTGCAACATATAAAAATGTAATTTTTTTCTTAAACTTGCTCCAAACCTTGAATCCAAATTACAAGTCACAGACAGCCAAACAGGGCCTTAATAGACTTTTTGTGTCCGGTCATTTTGAATATGGGGAGTCGTTATCATTGATCATTTGCTCCTGTCATCTTTTTCATGCATACATTAAAATTGTTATTCATTTTAAATTCAATTTTTCTCAACCACATGTTTGGCCTCTTGTACGTAGACTACTTAACTCCTAGTCTCTTCTAAGTAAAACATCATCGGTTCTCTCCCTCTTATTTCGACCCTCTGAGCCATTCCAACAAAATTAATTTTTGTTGTCAAAAATCTCCTCCAAGAATTATCCCTTCCTTGGTTAAAATTTCTTCACCCATGACCACTACCACCCAACTACCCTGGCAGTCACAAGCGTCTGTAGCCTAGTTGGTAAAGGCAGCACTCTAGTATGTGTCTCAGCTTAGCTGAGGTCGTGAGTTTGAATCTCACCAGACACATCTTCATTTTATCTGTCTCTACACAAGGTTCCAAAAGGCTTACTGCGGGGAATCCAAGCACTGGAAGACTTTGGGGTTCACAGCCAACTGCGGACCAGGGTCAGTAAATACTGCGGAGGGGCTACAATGGAGCGGGGGCACCAAGAGGCGGAAGCGGGGTCTGGAGGGGCCAGACCAGAGGCGGAAGCGGCGGTGGGAGACCTGTCCAAATAGTATATTGGTAAGGTTCAGTAACAGGAACCTTACCGAGGTATTGGTAAGGTTCCGAGCTGCTTGAGGGGCGTGCGCTTTGACCCGCCCCTTGCTTAATTTACCCGCCAGGCCAGAACCAACCTATGTCGGCTCTTGGCTGGCGTGCAAACCCACCCGCCCTTCCTGGAGGGGCGGGTTCTTCTGCACGCCCCTCGGAAGCGTGATTTATTGAAAAAACACACTTCCGAGGGGTGTGCGATCAAACTCGCCCCTCCTGGAGGGGTGGGTGCGTGGGCGTGCGGGGAGGGGGGGGGGAGTGCGATTATTCTTGCCCACTTAAAAGACCATCAAGCAAGTTACCCCGGACAAAAAACCAGAACAAGGACGTGTCGCGGAGTGGAGAAGTGCAAGAAATCTCCAAGGGAATGCCTTACTTTCCACACCGGTCAAAACTGGAAATCAATGGGAGAACACACTCCCATTTATGACTGGTCAACCCCAGTCATTGATGGGAGGAAACACTCCCATTGGTTCATTGACCCCATGCCAAAACCAGTTTTTATTGGGGTTGTGTACTCCCATTGATGACCGGTCAAAATCGGTCATCAGACTCCCATCAGGGACCATTCAAAACCGGCCCTTGATGGGAGTCCACCTCCCATCAATGACCGGTGTCAAAAATGGTCATCAATGGGGAGACTGTATGGCCAACTTGGCCAATGGATTTATTTTTATTCTTTCATTTTTCATTTTTTTGGCCAAAGCAGCTGTTCAGTACCTCCATAATAATGATTGGGACAGGGTCCAAAATGCTTGAAATGTATTTTTCTTTCTGTTTTTTTTTTTTTAAATGACCAAGTGTTGATTGATATGTTTAATTGAATAAAATGTCAAGTGTAAACTCTTGTAAGAAAAGCTTAATTGTTTCACACTTAAATTTTGGCTGGCTTCAAGATCTGTTTGGATTTTGAAAAATGTTATTTGAATTTATTTTGAAAGATTAGGGGAAGAAAATACAGGTTCCATTAATTAATCTTGGAAGGGCAATTTTGCCCAAGAGCAAAACTCAGTGTCATCATGATCATGATACCAGGATGTGATAATAAAGGCTGCGGTCTCTCTCAAAGTGAGACTGGTGAGTGGTTCAGAAAAGTATTGAATTAATCTCAATTGGACCGGGGTAAATATGACTGTGTTTCTATACCTCTCCTCCTCCCAAGGTGCCAATCCTGGGTTGATTTTTAATTTACCGTATATTGGAAAACCTTGTTTTGGTTCAAATATAACCGTGATCAGCCATTGAAAAATTGCTTTTCTTTTTTGAATGAAATCTTTGCCCTGTCTGGATGTGGAACGTTGGAGTTCCACGTGAATGTAGGTGACCGCCATAGCTAATTTAGTCAATAGATTAGTCGCTTTCTTCTTAGTCAAAATTTGAATTTGCGGCTTTTTAATCACTCGTATCCATCCGACATTTGGCTCATCCTTGAGGAAGTATACAGCGATCGATACTCTTGGATGAATGCTCAGGTAATGATTCCTCAATGGTGCTTCTTGAAACTTTTCTTTGAAAGGCTTCAAAACCAAAGGTATCAGACGATCAAGAGACACTTTGACTTTCCTGCTGGTGACCAGTGATTCGAAATCCCAGGGCGCTTTAGTCGAAATTTTCATCAGAAACTTCATCTTTTCGCGGAACTCTGGACTTGTGGCGATTTCAGTCGATTGTTCAAGAGAAAGTCTTGGTGCTGTATGATAAACTGATAGCTCCCCATTTATACATCATTGAAAAGGGATAGAACACGTGTATAATTCAGTTTTTCCACTCAGAATCTTCACTTCCAATCAGGAACTGGCTCGACTTGAATGAAAACTGCCGACTCACCCGAGTCATCCGGTTGATTATCTATGAAGGTCTGGAACAGCTTAGTAGCCGCGGATAGTGTAATCGGATAGTCGATCGTATTCTGAGATAAGACACGTAATAATTCTACCTGGGTACTCTTGAGTATATCGTCTTTTCCCCATTCTGGCACCGCTGTATTCTTCAGCCCCATAAGGGGAACAGGATTTTCGAACGCCTCTTTGTAGAGCCAGTCAAACATTTTTTGATGCTGTAGTCTGTGTACGTATATTGGGATATCTAACGTGTTCAAGCGCGCTTCGTGGAAATCGTGAATACATTTGATCAAATACTTGTATTGCGAAACCAACACATCAGGTGACTGTAGATGGCTTTGATCTGAAGCACAGATGACTCTGATGATGTAACCAAGACCTGGACGTTGCGGTTCAGCCATCGCAAGAGGGAAATCGGGGTACTGGAATTTTTGAGTAGTCTTTTTCGAAAAAAACTCCTTCGAGTTGACTGTATTAAAAAATTGGTCATCGTAATGCTTGAGAAGGAATCGATGAACGTGTAGCTGGTCATTGAGATGGCTTTTCCTGCGGCCTTTTAGCCTGACTTTTTTGGTCTCCAATTTGCTGATGGGAGACCCATTCCTGATGATATCCAATGGCGAATTCGAGTAAACTAAACGAGACACTTGTGTTGATTGTTGATGACGCTCATTTTGATCACCGGGTATTATCTCAGGAGTTACTTCCACGACTGGGTTATCCACTTGCATGGGTGCCTGAGCCTTAGTGTCATCCCGATTGCTTTGCTTCGCAGCTATAAAGTGCAGGTTAGTTAATCTGGGATCCTTTTAGTGCATAATAAGTTTTGGATGATGGGGTAATGGCTTTGTGAGGAGGATGGAGGAAAAATCACTGACTGGATGTGCTAGTGAAGGCTAGAGTGTGCGATTGAGCAGGAGTAGTGTTGAGATTGGAATCAGATAAAACTTTCGATTTGTCGTGTCTGACCGATTTCCTGGGGATTGGTTCCCGGACCATTGTCGCGACATCGAACGGGGAAGCGTTTGGTACTGAATCAAGCTGATTTAAGGCAAAGTGAACCCAAGGCTGGCCGGCTATATGGTGCGCAATGTCTTCACTGGACACGATCTGAGGTATTTTCACGAATGAGCTGTCGTCGGGGATGGGCGTGTTATGAGTGACATAGCTATCCCGTTCAACGTCACTATTGTCTGTGGAACGCACATTGCCTGTTTTGAAAGTAATCCAGTGGATATCATGTTGATAATCAGGTACTTGAGTCGTGAAGAGGATGGAGGAAAAAAGACTCACTGGAAAAGCTAGCGACACCTGGAGCACTTGATTCGTCAGGATGATAACTGAATATTGGATCAGGGCCGGATATAGAAGCTTTTAATGGGCCGTCTTGATGGCCCCTCAGGCTTGGGATTAGTGATGAGTCCAGTGAAACGTCATGGAAGAAAGCAGGGTTTGCAATTAAATGATGCCCCAGCGACGGACTTCCTGGCAATTCTGGTCGCAAGACCGGGAGCATCTGCATTGTGGCTTCTGGGCGACGTTGTCTCCATTCAGGCTGATGAATTTGCAAAGCAGGATCGTGCGAGAAGGCGGCCAAAAGCTCGTGTGCCGAAGGCAGCGTGACTTCCTCTGACGGACCGTCATCCCACCAAGCGGAAGCGAACTTCGTTGGATCTGGAGCCGCAACTAGCCTAATAACGCACCAAACCAAGCAGCATAGAGAACGAGAATGCGAGAAAAAGGCGGGGTACATTTGGTCGGCATGGACAGATCACTAATGTCGGGAGTTTCTCACTTCAAGAAACCTTCAATCGTTTGGTGTGGTCCGCAGAGTAAACTCGGGCGGCTCCAGGCTTCAAACAAGGTATATTGTAATCGGAAACTTTCCTGAAACGATCCCATCTATGACGGGGCTTGTAATTCCAGTTGGTCACTTGTTTGAAGATTTGTCCAAGTATTCCCACTGCTATCCGGGGTATGACTATGCGGAATTCTTTGCCTGGGGATTTCGAAGTCGCAATCGACTTTGTTTTAGGGCTATAGCACCCCAACAAATCACTCTTGTGTTCCTGTTGCACGCAGAGCTTCACTGAAAAAAATGAGAATATGTCTGGGTTTTTTGTGCTAGAGTACATAGCGTGTATGTAAGCAGAGGAGCACCGGTGCCGTGGTCATCAAAGAAGGTCATTTTAAAATTCTCCTTCATTTTACGCGAAATGCGAAGGTTCAACCTTCTAAGCTGGTGGATGGTACACAAATTTTCGAGCAGGTAGTGAAGAAGTTGCAAAAGATGATAAGAATGAGCGTTCCTCTCAATGCAACAATCTCGTTTGCGACTGGTCCCTCGTCGAACTAGCTAGTTTGGGATAGCTAGATATGCGCGAGCTTGCCGGAGGGGTTTCTGTTAAGTTGTGGTAGATAAATATGAGATTCATGGATTCTTTGACTTCTGAGCTGGGTAACTACATAGATCAGCAAGCAGAGATTTTTATTCGACGTCAGACGCGGACTGTCGGCACCGGACTCGGAGGCGGCAAGACCGCGCGGAGTTTGACGCGTCTTGAATATCCAATTGGGCATAATCCCTGATCTCAGCCAGCTTGTGGTCGACGCGATTTCCCAAAGCTGCCATCTTCAACTCTCGTGTCAATGAAAGAGTGAGTCTTCATGTTTTCTTAATTCATCACATTTGTTTGAGTGAACAAGTTACCTGACAGGCTGATCCACATGAGATTCGAATTTTGATGACCTGGCTTTTTTTGCTTGTCCAGACGCAGCGCGACACTTGACTGAGAAAGATTCAAAAGAGTGATGTCCCTTCATCGAAAGTTACGCATTCATCAAATCTTCGGTGGTGTAAGGAGGCAAGAAAAATCATCAACATCAAGAAAGAACAAAAAAAAAATTAGATCACAAAAGTAACTAAGCTGATTCCTCGCCTTGGTGTCTATCACACAGGGTACGGGCATCGGAAAAACGATCATTTCGACCGCGTTGTCGAAAGCTTCTAGTCGGCTGGGGGAACAGACGAGTTATTTGAAACCGATTGGGACTGGCGCCGATAGTGATGACAAGTTGGTGTTTATTGTTTTCTCCTTTGTTTCCCCCCTTTTTTGAGGTCATTTGTTTGTGGTGAGTGCTGCAGTCAGTCTGACTTCTCCCGCACTTTGATTCTTGCGATTTTTCTCTTAGACATGTCTCGAAATTCACCGGCTCAGAGGTATCGACCAAGTGTTTATACACATTCTCCGATCCGGTCAGTCCCCATCTGGCCGCCGAGCGAATGAGGAAACAAGCCGCTCATGCCGGGTCTCTACCGGGTGCGTATCACGGAGTTTTTCTTTTATTCTTTTTTTTTTGGTTTTCCAATCCTCATTGGCTAATGAGATCTCCACGATGGACTCGACTAGCTAGTAACTCCCACCGATCACGAATTGATCACTAGCATTTACGATCATGTCAATCTGACCGCTCGGTCGTTGGGAGAGAATCGTATCGGATCACTCTATATCGAAACTGCTGGCGGTAAGCCCATCATCCATCACCTCCAAAGAGGGCGAAAGAAACGATCCTGCGGGGGATAGTCAGCTGACACTTGCACAACCTGAAAACCGCAAAACAAAAAGGCGTACACTCGCCTACTCTGGCGGGAAATTCGCAGCTCGAAGCGTTCAGACCACTACGATTGCCGACGATCCTCATCGGTTCGCCGCTTCTTGGGGGGATTTCTTCGACCGTTTCGGCGTACGAATCACTCCGAATTCATGGATTTGACATCGACTTACTCCTAGTCCTCAAAGAAGAATACTACGAAAATTACCGATATCTTGAACGTTGGGCCCAGGAGCGAGCGCTCGACTTTGCTGCCGTTGAGTCTCCACCGGAATTGATAAACAATGACTCGAGGAAAGAATTCGACCAAATGAATGCCTTCTATCACCGCATCACCCATCCCACATCATCCGTTTCCAACGCCGTTCGTATTCTACAAGCCCGTCATCTTCACCGAGTCGAGCAACTAGAAAGCATGCCTGAGAGGGCGCTGAAACAGATTTGGTGGCCGTTTTTGCAACACAATTCACTCGTCTCGCCGAGTCAGGTGACGGTGATCGACAGTGCGTACAAGGATCACATGCTTACCTACCAGGCCGACCGTCAACTTTCAGCCCCGTCAATCTCGACAAACGAGAATCAGAAAGAATCTAACGGTGTCAACTCTCTAGTCCAGCAAAAGTTTGACGGCTCTGCTTCTTGGTGGACTCAGTCCTTGGGACACGCTAATTCACAGATCACTCTAAGTGCAGCACACGCAGCTGGTCGCTTTGGACATGTGATCTTTCCCAGTTGTGTCCATGAACCAGCCCTGAATCTCACCGAGCATATGCTCAAGACCGTAGGAGCTGGCTGGGCGAACCGGGTATTCTTTAGCGATAACGGTAGCACCGGTGTCGAGGTCGCTCTCAAGATGGGTCTGACGAGTTATAGACGAAGACACAAGCTCCCCTCGGGCGTCCACTTCGATCTAGGCGTCATCGGCCTCAAAGGCAGCTACCATGGTGATACGATTGGCGCCATGGATGCTAGTGAACACTCGGTTTATAATGCACAGGTTGATTGGTATAAAGGAAAGGGCCTTTGGTTAGACGCCCCGCAAGTTCATCTCGTCGATAGTCATCAAGCACTCATTCTCACCAATCCAGGCGATCAATGGGGTCCAACAGGATGGAAGGTTCCCTACCCCAGCCTTCAAACAATTTACGACCTCGACAAGAGATTGAAGGAAGACCCACTCACCGAGGTATACACAAACCACATCTACACTTTCTTGCGTAAATCGCGATACGAATCGTCGATTATTCCGGCTTCTTTAATCATCGAACCGGTGATCATGGGTGCCGGCGGGATGATCTTTGTCGACCCTCTCTTCCAAAACGTCTTGATCAATGTTGTCAGAAACAATCCGCAACTGTTTGGACATTACAAGGGCGCCATTGCCTGGTCGGCCAATCCGGATCCCCCGGTGAACTCGAACGAAGACGACAGTTGGAGAGGTTTGCCCGTGATCTTCGATGAGGTCTTTAGTGGATTGTATCGGCTTGGAAAACCGAGTGCAGCCGCCTTGCTCGGCCGCGACATCCATCCAGATATTGCAGTCTATAGTAAGATGCTCTCGGCTGGCACTGTTCCACTCAGCGTGACCTTGGCGAGAGAGGATATCTTTGATGGGTTTCGAGGCGACGGAGCCGTCAGTGCCTTGCTACATGGTCATAGTTATACCGCCCATCCAATCGGATGCTCAGTCGCACATACTGGCTTGAAGATTTATGAAGCAATGGACGCCAATGGGTCTTGGGATTCCGCCAAGCAGAGTTGGCAGGCTGGACACGATCCGTCCACCGAGACTGCCATCTGGAGCTTGTGGAGTCACTCTTTTATCCAACAGCTCACCAAATCCGACGAAGTCGATGGGGCCATGACACTTGGGACTGTGTTGGCAATCTACTTGAAGGATCAAACTAACTCAAAAGGTTAATCATCACATCCATTCTTCTGCTATTCTTACTTACATGTCAGTATCACAAGATTGACTTTTGAAAGATTTGATCCTCAGGTTATACATCTTCTGCTGCCAAGAACTTCTTAAGCCGACTCCAGTCTTCCCAGCTCAACAAAGACCAGCAGATTCCGTTCGGCTTACATGCCAGACCTCTGGGGAACGTGGCATATTTCATCGCCAGTCTCAATACATCTTCGGAAACTCTGCACGCAATTCAAGAAGCTATCCTTTGCTCCCTTAATCTTGCCAGTGATAAGGCATAACTCGTTTTTTCCTCTCCCGGGCATTTCCTCATTCATCGGTTCAATGAATGCTTGGTCATCTCTAAGATCAGTCGGATGTCTACATCGGTATCGGTTTCATGTTTCGTTACTATGCACTTTCCATCATATCTACACAGCAGTATGTAATTTGGATAAATCATTGAAACATCTATATCATCACTGTCTTCGCTTCAGTTGTGTCTTCAGAGAGGAAAAAAAAGGTTGATCAAGGATAAGAGAAACCATGAATGATAGCGAGAAGAATGATATACAAAGATAAGTGACCACGAAGAGAATTTCACAAGAACAATCGTTATTTCACAACAAAAAAAAAAGAAGAATGATAAAAAGCTGTAGGAGGATGGTGTGGTTATTTATCAGTTGACTTTTTCGGGGGGTTGTTGTGTTGTCGTTGTTGTTGTGGTGGTGGTATTACTTGCGCCATCTAATAAGCCTGACATGCTTAACTCCAATGAATCTATTCGCGTTCCCAGTACATCCACTTTGTTTTTTTATCCACACACCCCCCGACGATCATCATCCAAAATTGGATCAGTTTCCGATAAATTGGTGTGTGCAAATCGTTTTGGGACATGTGCAATTAGTCAAATCATTCAGGAATCAGCTGTTTGTTCTTCTTCATTTGGTCTACATACAAGAATGATTATTGTTGGTTTTATTTGGGTTCTTCCGAGTCCAAATAATTGATTGCGTATTATTTGGAACGCAAATGGGCCGGAGCTTCTTCTTTTTTTTTTTGCACATTCGCATGGCGAAGAGTACAAAGGTCGAGGTAATGTATGAAAGAAAAAAAAAGACGGGGAAGAGAGATAGAGAAGTAAGATTAAATTTGCAAGATGAGGAAATGACTGACGTCTTTCAATTACATCGGTTTCGATTCTACTGAACTTTGCCTCGAGTTTTTCAAGCACCTCGTCGACCTATTTATTTTCGCACAAGACAGAAAAGGCCGGAAAACCGATGGTCAATAAGCATCCAACGATATGAATGAAGTGTGAGCTCACCCATCCAATGAGTTCATGAGGGCTACAGATATCGTTAGGATTGAAATCCGGTCCGGCTTGGTCTTGGTTATTTGAGGTACTAGTAGCAGTAGTAGTAGTAGTACCAGCGACGTTCCCGACAGCAGTCGACGAGCCCGAGGCAGTGGCCGAGGATGAGTTTTTGAGCGCGCTTGTGGTTTGGGTGGAGCTGAAGTTCTTGTGGCTAGTGCTCTGGCTGTTCTCGTTGATCCTGCCGAGTCCGTTGATCATCTTCTGGCTTGGGTTGGGTTGATTGTGGTTTTTTTTGTCGGCGTTCTTTGGTCCTTGGATTCCCTTTGGCTTGTTTCGAAAGTCCACCCCGGGTGATTGGCTCATCGAGACCCCGGGGTGGGCGGGGTACCCCGTGTGATTGCACCCGTACCCGTACATCCAGTGCTCACTCACCGCAATATCGTCTTGGAGAAGTTATGAGCACCAGTTGGACTGACTCGAGTTGCACCTTTGTTCAGTGGCATCAGCCAAAGACTCTATATAAAGAGAGCATAACATGATGGACTTGCTATAGCTATTCTACACTTTGGGCCAGTGCCAGTTAAATATTTGTCGGGAAAACATGTTAGATTCTGAGGGATGCAAGAGGGACACGGGGCACCACCCTAATAATGTTCTCCTGATCAAGAATGGCCATAAGTTGACCCGGTGCAGACATGATGGCGGGGCTGAGGATGGGCCAGAACCCTACTATGTACAGCTTCGACTAGCGCAGCCCCATAATTAAGATGTCTTCGGCATCCTCATGAATGTTCCAGCTCACAGCCTCCGCCAAGGTGAAGCCAACCTGATGATGGCCCCATTCAGTGAGATCCAATGGCGGGATATCCGTTATAACAACCTCTGCTTCCCTGATGAGATGGCCGCTGAGCCTCCTCCAATACAAAGGTTCCAACAATGACAGCTGTTTGAGCGTTTTGCTCAGAGGCAGAGATCACTGACCCACATCTGTTTGTAAATATGTAAGAAAGACCAAAAGTGCTCAAGGTATATGTTTTTGGTTGCATCATCAATTGCGTGTTCTCTAGTTCCCATCGATGGCGATGATGACCAAAAATGGGATTGGGAAAGCTTCCACTGGCGAGTGAGTCCTGATCACCGCCGTGGCAGGCGCGATAGAACCACCCAGGTCTGACCGAGTTTGAAGGCATCACATCTGACGGCCTTCAATCGAAGCTGGCAGCTCTCGCCCACCTCTCGGCCTCGGTCGACCAGGCTGGCTTGCTAGCAGTAGCTGGTCAGTGGTGGTGGTGATGGTGGTGTGGAGGCCTGGAGTGACGATCATGATCTCGACATCATCCTCCAGTGCTTCAGTGCGGATGTCCATTCACTCTCCCAGCTACAATCCCAACACACTGCAACCGTATCAAGCTTGGGCGCTGGCACTATCATGTAGACTTGGGGACCGTGGTCGGTCGTGGTGGGCCGGAGTGGGCGCGGAGTCCTCTCAGTCTCGGTTCAATCCAGTCAAGGCCATCCTCCCATAATCGTCCCAATGCTCTCAAGACTTCTGGCGGTAGCTCCAGGCACATAAAAAAGGTATATAAGCACCCCATCCATCCCCCCTTCATTGCCCCTCTCCTCATCCCAAAGCATCCTAAAGCCTTCTCTTCCCATCCTCCACCACTAGAAAAAAGCCCCTACTCTAGCACCAATCCATCCTCCCACCTCGGATCCCTTCCTCATTCCTACCTTCCAGAACCCAAACCACCAAAGCACTCAAGATGTTTCCGATCTTCGCTCAACGCACTGTCCTCGTCGTGTAAGCGCACCCTGTCTGACGCTCCAACTATTGCTTAGAATCACCCAAATTAACTCATCATTTTTTTTTGTGCAGCGCCGGGTTGCCTACTGCTTGCTTTGCGGCGAACTCGATGATCAATAACAACAAGAAAAACCTCATCAAACCCAGCCCATCTTCGACCTCTTCTCAACTGCGCTTCCCCAGTGTCGAGCGTAGCAACGGTGGGATCTGAGGCTTCCCCCAGCGATCCGTCATGTATTCAACCCATCAAAGTTTGTGACCTTTTTCCTTTTCCCTTGTCACTAGTAATAGCAACCGACTGACTTTCTTGTTTCTGAATCTGCTCAGGATGTCTTAACCACCCCCATCAAGGATCTTTTTGAGAGGCTCCATATATCCGTTTATCCTCTGGCTTGCAAGACATTCATAGAACCCCTTCCGTCGCCCCCGTATTATCTGATCATTTATGCTAGCTCCTGTTCATCTATGCCTGTTTATATACCACATATGCCACTCCCACATGCACCTCCTTCCCCTCCTCCTTTTTGATTTTTTTTTTTCGCCCTCTAATTTTTATATCAATTGTATGCTAGTCATCAGCTTCTTTCTTCTTTTGTTGTAGACATATTAATCCATATCGCAAAATATAAAAAAAAATTTAAACATCGCGTGCTCTTCTTTTTCCATTGAGAGATTTTTGGGAAATGTCTTCTCCGACGGCTTTGCATATCTGAACCATCGAGCGCAACACAACTGACCTCCTTAATAGACAAGCGTCGGTGAGCTTGAAGTTGATTTGTCTTCATTGTAGGGACTATCTGAATGTTGTTCCTAACTTGAACAAAAGCTCGAACTGGTGTCTGCCAAGAAGTTGGAACCCTTGCGTTCGTGGCTGTACTACCATGGCCCAGCGGGAATACTTCTGCAGTACATGGACAAAGACCGGTCCGAGTATGAGCAAAAATGGCACACCCACTGCCCATTTTCTCAAACAGATCCTACCCTATGGCAACTGGGCTCTTCCAAAGTGCGACTCTCCCAGCTTGTTCTTTTCTGTGCCAAGTCTACAAAATATTTGTTGCTCAATGTAATGTACACAGTTAAATACTGGTCTGTCAAACTCCCATGGCTCTTTTTGATCAGCTTTGCTTGATATGCATTTTGTTTGTTTGGAAATTGTCAAAAAACAAAGAGGAAGTGTATGAGTTTAGGTATCATTAAGAAGTAAAGAAATATATATATATATATGCATTGCGGAAACGAAGTTGAGTTCGAGGGGATTCGAATAAAGAAACAGCCGATAAGATTTAAGGGGGGGGGGATGCTATTATAAAAAGGGGAAAAAAATGCTCGACACAGATTTAAGGATGATGATCAACACCCTCTGCACCACTTGCATCTTTATTTTCTGAATGATTGTTAGAGGGAGGATTAAGAGATCTATTAATGAAGATTTCTTTAGCGATTTCGATCCGAGAGGGATCCCAAGCGACGGGGTACGCTTTAGAATGATCGTAGAGAGACCAGGGTAAGCCGTTCACAGAAGCGGCGTGATCTTTCCAAAACTGTGTAGCTTTTGCAGGCTCGATTTGGATGAGGAAAGCGTGAAGGAGTTTGAGATCTTCGACGGAGGGAACGATGCGATGATGGAGGAAGGAGGTGAAGAGGTCGATGATAAATCTCCGACTGAGCTCGCCACCCACACTCAGATGTGCTTCGATCAGTCGGGTCCGCTCGATGTCGGTCAGTCGGGCCTGAGGGTTGTAGAGATACTTCGACCGCGCCTCTTCCACCGTCAGCGGCGGGGTTCGGTCGGCCACGAATCTGCTGATGACCATCTTCAGTAAGAACACAGTCCGCTCCGTCCTGATCGTCTGCACTAGCCTCGTCACGCCCATCAAGGTTGGCAACAGCACCGGTTCGCCCTCGGTCTCGCTCGTCAGACGCTTTGTGAGCGCCCAGGAGGACTGCCAAAGCCCGAAGAGGGTCTCAATGTTCTCGGCGAGTAGGCTTGAGGGGGCCTCAGGAACACAGTCGAGCTCGTTGCCGTCCCGGTCGAACTGGCGCTCCTCGCGCGAGAGCCAGTCAAACGTGTGTAGATCGGGCCGCTCGATGAGCATGCGGAAGGCCTGTCGTCGGCTCGGAACTAGCCGAGGGTCGCTCTCGGACTCGAGCGCTTTAACGATCCGCAAGACCAGCCGGGCGAACCTGAACCCATTGAGTGGCTTGCCCGAGACCGCCCGGACGAGCGGATTCGCAAGCTCGGAGAGTGCCGACAAGAGTCTGTCCAGCGGCCATCCAGCCCGGCCAACATTGATCATCGGCAACAAGTCCAGCCAGAAGCTCACCAGCAAATTGGCCCGACCCAGTCTATGTATTGTCTCTAGCGTCTGCCTATACAGTCGATAATCTTCCTCCGAAATTCCCTCGCGTGACCACCGATCACTGACGGTGTCGAGACCGGGATACTGGGTGAGAATCGAGGCTATCTCCGGCGCGGGTGCTCGATGGTCGAGATGGACGGCGTGTAGGAAGGCATTTGTCAGTTGTGGTACCAGCTTCTCGACCGTGCTCGAGGTGACCGTTGAGGAGGAGCGGCTCATGAGAAGTTGGAGGGCTTCACAGGCGTTCTTGAAGAGCTTGGCATTGTCCCTGTTCAAGGGCTCAGCGGTATAGCGACGTGAGGCCGAACGGATGATGGGCGAGAGCATGGTCAGAATGGCTTGATCGGCAGGAGAGAGAACATTGGTCTGATCGCTTTCTGAAGGATTGAGGTCCTCGGATGTGATTTCTCCCCATTCTAGTAGCTGAGACCATACTTGCAGGCATAACGACCACATCGCAGGTGAAAGTTGAGAGGCGCTGGGACCCTGTTGAGATGGACTGTAGTTGCTAATCCAGTGGAGGACTGAGCGGACCCCAAGCCGGGCGTTGGTCTGGCGTCGGTTATCGTTGGATTCGGTCTTGATGATCTCTTGCCAGATCTGTCGCATCAACTTGGGATCCCAAAAAAGAGGGTTGGATGACCGTCTCAGGGCACGCATCACACAACGAAGGTCTTCAGGCCCAAGGCCGTGGAGATCGGGCGACTTGATGAGCTGGAGAAGTCGTCCAAAGTAGTTTGAGATTGCAGCGTCGGAAACAAATATCAATTGCTTGTCCTCCGTCGTGAGCCATTGTCGTTTGGTTCGAGAGAGACCGATGAGGACCTGGAAGATTGTGATTCGCTGTTGGATTTTGAAGGCTGAAGTAGGCCGATTCAAGTCCTCAATCAATTTCAAGGTAAACGAGTCGAACCTTGCGGCGAGGATGTAACGGAGGAAGAGCGCTAGTGAGCGTGGGGATAGCTTGCTGAGCAGTTTTGCGTTTGTCGAGCGGAGCTTGTCGAAGTCGGATCCATTGAGAATCGGTGCTGGACGACCATCCTCCAAGGTCGTTGATGAAAGCGGATGAGGGATCGGCCATGAATGCCCCAGAGCGATTAGTAAGGCCACCAGATCATCGTCCAAGATTTTCCGATTCGCCGCTCCGATCAGCTTCCGGGTGGGAGTAAGACGTGCCTTATTCGGTTTGGAGACGGGAGGCTTGGCTGGGACTGTCGGCCAAATAAGCAAACCCAGGAATATTGTTAGTTTGATTCGTTCAATTCGATAGAAGATGAGCTCAAATATACTGACCTGGTGGTACCTGCTCTGGCCTGGTAGTCGTCAGATGTATGAAGTGATGGTGATGGATCGGGGGTAGGTTGATAATCTGTCGTTGGTTGAAGATTGGAGAATGGCCGAGTGAACGAGAGAGTGGTCGGATGGCCATCTTCATCTTTCCTCCCACAGAATCCAAATCCACTTTTTGCAGCCCACATAAATAAATATGCACTGCTGCTTTCATCCATCTGGATTCTGGCTTCACAACTCTTCACATACACAATCACTAATCACTATCCAATGGTCAACCTCATGTACAAAAAAGCAAGCAAACAAATCTTCAATCATGTCCACAAAACTGTATCTTCATGAGGATATGTATTCACCACCACCTCAAGACAACTCATACAACAGAAACATCAAATACCAAAACAAGGAACAAGAACATTCTTCACATTCAAGCTTGATCGCCAGGTGACATAACAACATGATGAGTTAATGATGGTATTTTAATTTCAATTGGATGGACTGCTCAACACCTTAGACAGCTTGTTTTCTGACTCCTGTTATACTATGTGGGAGAATTAGTCCCCCACATCCCCCACAAAAACTCTTCAATCTCACGACAAAATCTATCGTTAAAATCAAGTGAGTAATAATGTCAAGACATATTTTGTTTTTGAGTACACATGTTTGTAATTAATTTTTCTTTCATCTAGCCTATTCATCATCAAAAATGTCATTGATAAATTCCCCACCAACCAATCCATCCAAACCATTTGATAGTCCTTATGTAAGATACAACCCCCTTTCTAAATAGTAATAACATTTTTTTTGGAAAATTACAGCTAACAGACATAATGTGATGACAATGTAAAGGTGAGAGAACATGCAAGTTCTGAAACACTTCAGGCTTTAGATCAACTATCCCAACTACCCAAACCAGTGATTGACTTGAAGTGAGTATTGAGTCAAATGTGCATGATGATTGCAGGTATTGAATAATGTGTTAATTTGGATTATTTCCAGGTCTTTTCCACCACGAAGTGTGGCAGCAGTTTTGATATTACTTCATCTTGTTCCTGGAACTGGTGATCTTGCTGTGACATTAACAACCCGCTCTCAGCGCCTTAGTTCACATCCAGGTAAGTTTATATCATTAGTAATTAATATCAAAATTCAATCCAATCTTTAATAATGATAAAAAATGATTTACTGGAATGTGTTTTTTTGCAGGGGATACTGCTTTGCCTGGTGGGTAACTCAATAATATATATTTTATTTGTCATTGATTTAACTATTTTCTATATTCTAGGTGGAAGAGTGGATTCAACAGATGAAACAGTGGTTGCTACTGCAGTGAGTAACCTGCTTCTTATATTATATGGTTTTAAATATACATTCTGAAGTGATAATTGGTTTTTTCAGCTGAGAGAAGCAAATGAAGAGATTGGATTACCTATAGAGGTCATGTCACAATATGGCTATCTTGGAACTCTTGACCCCTTCTTATCTAGAAACCTCTTAGTAGTCTATCCAGTTCTTTATTTTTATCTACAATCCCCTGAAGAATTGCTCATTAATCTCAAAGCCAATGAGGATGAAGTCTCAGAAATATTCCATCTTCCACTCAAAGATATATTAGAAGCCTCTCCTGAAAATGTTGATAGTATAGGTAGTAAGCTATTGTATACAAGTAGAGATCTCAAATGGATTCATGGTACTACTTATAGGTGGCACTCCTTTAGCAGTTCAAGTTTACCTTCTCCTCTCACTGGCTTGACTGCAGATATTATTGTTTCACTTGTTACTTTTGCTTATAGAACTCCAAATCCTGGCTTTGGCCCAGTCAAGGCCCCTGGACAAGAAGATTGGAAGACTCTTATTGACTGGGCTTTGGCTGGTGAAGCTGGTAAAGAAGGTGATCAACATAGTATCATACGTAAAACTAGACCTACAGTTTAATTCTTCTTGATTTTTTTATCATTCAATATTTTTATTATTTTAGTTTCTGTTTGATTTATCTTTGGTATATTTGTAATCTCAGTTGATTGATATTGTCAATTTGTTTGTTTATTGATTACATGTCAAATGTCAAATTCAAAGAACATCGTCAAAAAGTAGTAAACAAATATCAATTGAGTGTTTATGTGAGCCTTTAAAATAAAAATTAGGATCATACAATGAGGGAGTAAAAAGCTAAAGGGAATAAGACTGAAAAACTTGGTGGTATATGCTTGAGGAAATAAGTATTACTGGTAGGGAATGCATTTATCAATGCCCCATATTCAGCTCATGGTTTGCAATTTTGCTGAGGTCCACCTGTTGAAATCTGTTTTGTCTGATTTTTGGATCCTGAATTTTGTTTAAGGATTGGTTTGGTCATCATGATTGGAGGTCTTCCCATCAATTTTACAGGGCCTGTAAAGCTATTTTTACAGCCTTTAAAGCTATTTTTACAGCCTGTAAATCCAAATTTCCAGCACCCTGTAAATGTAGCTTTCTGTCAGCATGAAGCTAAATGTAATTTATCAAAAATACGGCATTAGCTGGAGCCTTGCTGTCACAGTGTGACTCAGAACAAGTGGGCTAACTGACCATGTTCTCACCAACCTGTCTGCCAGAGCACCAAACACTTCACCCTCAAATCCTCCCATCAAACCACCACAGATGTTTCCAAGGCACTTTCATGCAAGTGCCTTCATGTAACCTTCTTCAGCAACTCCATCATAACTGTTGGTGAGTAGTGATGATGTCAGTCCTAAGGCTGTTGTATCTCAGGCTGATGTCATGTGTAACTTTGTTTGATGTCAAGCTCAACAGTTGCCAAAGTCAATCTGATGTCATATTCTACTTACGGATGACTTGCTGCCAAGAAAAGTTTGCAAATATTTTTCATTGATCCAATGTGCATAGCAACAGCCTTTCCTGCATTAAAACACGTTGTAGGATGATGATACAATTGGTGTTAGTAATGACACATGTTTTGTCTGTTAGTTACTTTCACACATGTTTGGTTTTGTTTGGAATTGATCAGATGATGTGATGTTGACGTTAAGATCACATTGTTAAGATCACATTGAACTTGTGGATCAAGAAGGACATGAAGTACCATATCTTTGTGAATCTATATCACTGTCATGGTATATTCTGGATGAAAGAATTTCCATGAGGCTGTGCTCTACAGGTTTTGGTACATATCATATTCAAAGTTATGGACAGGAAATAGTTGTAACAGAGTTTGAATTTACTTTAAGGAAGTGCAAATAGCAGGATCTTCCTAAATTGGGAATAATAAGAATATAATTTACAATTTAGATTGATTGAACTACAAATGAGCAATAGAGCAGGAGAGTGCTTCATTTAATTTTATCACTTTTTCATTTCCATTTTCTTGAGAAATTAAACTCAAGAGTACAAGGGTGGGCACCTACGCTCAAGAGGTCTTTTCTCTGAAGATTTATGAAGTGGAACTTAGATAGTAATTTTGTAGAGAAAATGTGTTTTCAAAATTAAATTCTTCAAGTTTGAATATATAAACCTCAAGTGTTTCACCTCTCCTCATGAGGCGTGCTGGATTTTAGAGTAATCTTTCCTACAAAGCTGTTTTTTTGAGCATTAAAACACACATATTATTCCATATTTCTTGATATCTTCTACAATATACAATCACACAACTTTGGTTCTGTCAGCTAAGATGAGTTTTGTGTGATCCTTCCCCCAAATTTCTAATAAGATGAATGGGTCCATTTATCTTTTGGTGAAGGGTGGATGGAAAGGATTGGTTTCCAGTAGCTATCCTTTTGGAAAGATTCAATAATTTCAATGAGGATCACAGAGGATGTATTGTAGACTGAGTGTATAATGTAAGATATTTTTGGAACCCACAAATTCTAAATGAGGGTGAAAACAAAATCCAAAGGGCCACTTTTTTTCTTGAATTGTATGTATTTAAGAGAGATGTGTAGAATGAGGAGCTCATATCATGTATATATTTATAGGAGGTAAAGGAGCTAGCAAAAGGAGATGAATATATGGAAAGAAAATAAAATAAAACAATAATTTAAATATTACAACTTCTTCTGGGCGTTGGATACTTGTTTTTCTTGCCCAGCCACCTCAAGGAAAGGAGCTGTGCCGTTGATATGAGCAACTACAGCATTAGACATAGCTTCAGACATTTGACAAGAGAAACCAATACGTGTGTACTTGCCAGATGGAGAAGCTCCTGGCAGGGTCTGATGTGTGTAATCCCTGGACCTGAAAACACAGAGAGAAACACCTAGAACATGATGCAAGTCCAAGCAAACCTGAAAGTCCCTAAAGGTGAACTGACCTCCCAACATGTCAAAGTCATCATCGGCCAAAATGGGGTCGTCCTCAGAGCAGTTGCGTGGGTTGAATATAGGAATCCAGCAAACAAGAGTCCAATGATTGGCGTCGGTGTCGCAGTGGGGTCCATTGTGGAAGTCAAACATAGTGAAGGTGAGAAAAGAGGCAAAGTCGAGAGCATCATACGGTAAAGGATATTCCATGTGAGACATGGATGGGAGGTTGTTTTCAATCAAGGTTTCACGGTATTTTTCAAAGACGCCGGGGGCAAGATGTTGGAGCTGGATTGAGATGAAATCACTTGCTTCTTTGATTGAGGCAGCTTCGTCTTGAGGATTGTAGTTGGCCAGGAGCATCATCTTGACAAGTTTTCCAACGGAGCAGTAACGTCCAAAAGATTCCTTTTTTGAGCCCTTGCGCCATCCATCAGCCCACATAGATCCATCCATTTGAGGCCCGTTGTTTTTAACTGCGGCAACATAGTTGGTCCTGTCAAAGAAGTGACAAACAAGTTTTTCCCAGCCTTGAAGCTCTTCAGCAGACATCGTATCGAAAGGGACGTATTTGACCTTGCAGAATGGCGGTTCACCACGAGGCGCAGCAACACAGGTGCCATGGGTGAAGTGTTGGTAAAGTTGGAGAGTTTGTTGAGTTGTTATTGCTTCAGAAGGTTTGGGGTCAAACTGGTGGCTAGGGGGGACGAGGTAGACAAAGATCTTTTCTTTTTGGTTATTGTTGGTGTCGTTGTTGTTAGATTGGGTGGCGGAATGGGTAGAAGAAATTCCCTTCTCATCTTCTTGTTCTTGAGATGGATTAGTTGAGGCGGCTTGAAATGGCTGAAGTGCGGTCTTCTTCTTCAACTCCCAACGCTTAACGTTTTTACCTGGACAGACGCGTTTGCGTTTTGACGTTCTGGGGAGGGCAAACAGAACCGGTGAGCATCATTGCACTGTGTCAGGAATAGCGGGGCAAGTTGGATCTCAGTTATTGTGGATAGGGTGGGGTCTGAATAGATGCTCAGTCCAACCAAACCCTATCCACATCACAGTTTGTCCTGTGACCTTTCTTTCATTGGAGAATCAGTCGGGCAGGGCCTGAATAGATGCTCAGGCCAACAGCACCAATCCTCCTCTGATATCCAGGTCAAGGGACAAGCTGGGAAGAGATAGGACCCCTTGGTCTATCTTGGGAGGGTTGAGCGAGCCTGAATAGATGCTCAGGCCAACAGAATCAACCCCCTGCCAATAGACCAAGGAGGGAGAGAGGGGATGGAATATTTATAAATGGGGAGGCTTACTGCTGTTCCCCATTGATAGTAGATCGATTGAACAATCCATTGTCATTTTCTTCATTGTGTGAGGTGGTTGGAGCCCTGTTGTACATCACTGGATGAGAAGGGAGATGTTGGTGTTGATTAGATGAAGATAGAAGTGACAGGTAGATCGCTAAGGCCAGTGGAAACAATCATTTATTTGATTTGTGAAAGAATTGAATGGATGAGTAAGAACATCAGATCAGTCAGCAGGTTGATGATGTGCTTAAGCGATTGAAAAAAAGAAGAGGCACTAACCTGTAGTGTTGAGGATGAAGTGGGCTGTGTAGACAACGGTCCCAAACGATAACGATCGATAACGATTGATAATGAGAGCTGGTAGCAGAAGGAGAAGGATGTGAGGTGAATCAGCTTTTGTTTGATGTGTTGTGGAGGTGGGTAACGTAAAAGAAAGACAGCGAGTGATACAAACGATATTGTCCAAACGATCAATCACAGAGCAAGAGGGAGCTGTGAGATTGTTTGTCAGTGAATGAAACGATTAATCGCTTGAACAGTTCAACGGTTGACCGAACAAGCAATCAAACGATCGGTGGAGTGAAGGAAGAGAGAGAGGAGGGGATCAGCAATCGTTGTTCAGGTTTGGGGATTGAAAGTTTGAGAGGGAGAAACTTACCAAAACAATTTTGGGGAGGCTGGTGGTGTGCTAGAGACTGTTCTGGGTGAATTGATTGATCGATTAATGAAAAAGCAAATGCAATTTGTTCCAGGGAACAAATGAGGCTTTTGGTGGTTGTGAGAGCGACTGTGGGAGGAGTTGAGGATACTGAGGAGGGGTTGAAGGGAGCTGAGGGGAGGAGACGAGGTGGGGTTGATGGGAGAGGCTGTGGCTGGATGGCTTGCTGGTTGATTGAGGACCAAAAAAAAAGAGTATGTACATCGTTTGATTTTCCGAGTTTGGCATGCTCAAATGGGGTTTGATTGGAGCCCTCTGCCTAGGCGAAGTTTGAGAGCCTCAGCCCTTCCCAGCTACACTTCTGACGCGAATTCTTCAGCACATTCAATTTACATGTCTCAAATTGACTGGTTCTGCTGACAGTAAGATCTGGGGAGGACCATAGGGTCCAAAAAGTATGTATCTACAACATTAAAGCCCACATTTTGAACATCCCAAAAAATTCTGAGCACAGAATGAATGAGAAAAAAACAGCCCTTGTGAGAGGGCAAGAAGGGGAGATATACATACATTTTTTCAACACCAGGGCAGCCAATATCATTCAAGTAGAGCAACTTGGACAACATGTCCTCAACTAAGCTGTGGTGGTGGCTGTAGGATGTAGGAGGAAGGAATGTGAGTGCCTTGGCACAGCTTCATAAATGATACAATACTAATGTGTGGTAAGGTTTGAGTGTTCTGTGGAGCACAGGCACGTGATTGTGGTTGGCTGAAAAAGTAGCAGAATCATGGTTGTTGAAGCATGATTTGGAAGATCCACAAGGGGACCACTCA